TTGAAGCTGATATCTCTCGGCTATTATCGAATCGATTCTGGAACAACGCGGACGCTGACACTCTCGCGAACTCGAGTTAGGATCAAAGGTGGTCCCAATTACGACTCCCATCCAGCTCTTGGCCTCGCCCGCGTCCACGCCCTCACGTCGACGCTACTCCTCCATTCTTCCCTTTCCAAGGTTGCTGGCCGCCGCATCCCCTCTCTACGCTGCTTTCGCTGCTCAACATCGCCGGGGTAAGCTTCAATTTCTCTCTCGAACTTTCACACTACTCTGCCATATCCTTCCAAAATCCCCAAATCCCCCTCTTCGAGTGATCTGCCTCCTATTTTTTTGGCTTCTGTTTGGTTCTTTGCTCGAATGTACATGATTTGGCGCCTGTTTGGTAGGGATTGGTTGGTACTGCGAAGTCTCACTCATACACAAACTCACTCTCTGCGATTGCTCTGCTATATATATGTTATTGGTAACTGGGAAGAGTTACAAATGCAGTGTTAGCACCTTTTTTTTTTAATTTATATGGTATACTTGTATTGCTTGGGAATTTAATTAACCATAACATAAACTCCTTGAAGCCATGATGAGATAACTATAAGAATGTTGGACAGTAATTGAACATCAATTAACTACCAAGTCTTCACTATGTGATTCAGGGAATGTCAAATCTTGTAATTGGCATCACTTATCTTGGGTTGGTGGTTTTGGCTGTATCGGTAGTATACATGAGACAGATTGACTTTAGTTGAAGCAGTTATTTTCATTCGGTATATGACTTGTGATTAGGCTTGGTGTAGTGTCTAGAGAAGCCGGACAATTTTTAACAGTAATCTCTGGATTAATATGCAGAAGGGTCTTGTAACTGTGTAAGCATGGGTTAGGTTCAAATGGATGCAGTTTCTAAGTGTCAATGTTTCCAGTAACTTTGGGATAAATTGCCATATCTGAGATAAAAGTGTTTATTTATACTTAATATACATATAACTGCTTTGTGTTCTTCTGCAGTTAAACTTTACTTGAGACATTTTTCTTCTACAAGTGGTCTACGTAATGGATATAATCTCTCAACTTCAAGAACAAGTTAATTTACTTGCCCATCTTGCTTTTAATACCATTGGGACATTGCAAAGGGATGCTCCTCCTAATCGGCTGTCACCAAATTATCCAGAACCACCTGCGCATCCTACAGAGGATGCTGCAAATTTTGCAGAACAACCCAAGCTTATGAGTGCTGCATTGGTAAAGGCTGCAAAGCAGGTATGTACATTTTTAGTCAAAGTATAAAAGAATAAGGCCAGTATATAGGACCAGATTTCTCTCATATGCAGTAGGAATGGGAATTTAAGAGTTTGAAGCACATCAAACACAACAGAACATGACGTAAGCGGTGGTGTACAGTAGAATTCAAAGCTTAAGGGCATGTAATGCAATGGACTTGAAAAATCATATTAATACATCACTATTGATGGATATAAGTTAGGTAACTTCAACTGATATATGGAAGTGTGTCAAATATATGTTTATGTGTTGAGTACTGAAGAAATTGCAGCAATAACAACAAGCTTTATCTTACTAGGTGGGGTTGACTACATGAATCTCATGTATTTTGGTATGAAGAATAGTATTGAGATTATGCACATAAAAAATAACGCAGTTCAGACTTAAGATGTATGTTATGGTATCCTTGCTAGGAAGACATGACTCTGCTCTTCAAGTGTTTGTCCTTCATGCTTATATGAGCATTTGAGTGAAAATAAGTTCTACTTATTGTTTATTCTGTAAAATAGTTGATTGATTGTCTGTCAAGGCTCACAAGGCTGTATAAGATGGCATCTTTTCTTCCCTGCAGGCTTGCAACCTTTGTTTCTTATTGTGTGTCCCTCCTTAAAGGGTCCGAAGTGACTTTATTTCATGACTTCCTAGTGATTCTCTGAGTATGTCATCTGTTTCTTGTCCAGTTTGATGCATTGGTTGCTGCGCTTCCCATATCTGAGGGAGGGGAAGAAGAACAACTTAAGAGGATTGCAGAATTACAGGTATGGAGCTCAAGTTATTTGTTAATCATATAGCATTTATTGTTTCCTGGCTTGTAAGAGTAATCTTATGTGGGCATTTGTCCTTGAAAAACCCACGGGAATATATTGTTGTCTGATAATTTCCATGCCTTGCGAGAGTGCGATGCTGCTAAATCTAATCCATATTCCTACACTGTTCTTTAATCTTCACAGGCTGAAAATGATGTAATAGGCCAAGAACTTCAGAAGCAGTTGGAAGCCGCAGGTCTGTTTTCCTTCTTCACTTTATCTCTCTAGTATTTGCCTTCTCTGCTATTTAGAAGGTATATTAATTCTAAATAGCCAAACGAGAATATGAAATACTTCTATGTAGCAAACAGCATATTCAAGGAGTTGGTATAAGAAAGCCAAACAAATAATAAATTGTCTCATGGATCTATAGATGGCATTGCACTTTTTCCCCCCCATTTGTAGTCGAATAATGCTGTGTATATGTGATCCACATATATCAGTTCTTAATAGAATTACAACAAAGATAGGATGATACTTTAGTTTCTTGGCGAATATGATCTGTGACTGCCTAACATTCTTCGTATGTTGTTGATGTCAGAGAAGGAATTAAATCAAGTGCAGGAGTTGTATAGGCAAGCATCAGATAACTGCCTGAACTTGAAGAAACCAGATTAAAGCGTCCATTCAATTCTTCGTGTTATTTTGCAGAAGGCTAGGAGATTAGCACTTTGTATATGGAGGCGCGAACTTTATCTTTTCTCTTGACATGAAACATCAAATCTGCCGAAAATAGCTTGACCTTCGTTCTCTGATGTGATCTGTACATGCTATGAAGATGGTATTTGTGCTAGAAACTGAGTTAGCAGTGGTCAGATATGTTGAATATTTCTACCTCTTCATCTTTTTGTTTTTTTTGTTTTTTAAATGTGATAACATCTACCTCTTCATCTTTTACCATAAAGAAAAAGGCTTATAATTATTTCTTTCATCTTATTATCTTCTAAAATGTCTTATTATGTTTATATGAACAAGAACAAGAACAAGAATGTCCGGCCCTCAAGAACACCCAGAGTGACCATATTGATTCCAATTTTTGACATATACAAATGTGTAAGTTGTTGTGTGTTCTTTTTTTTGGAAAAAAAAAAAAGAAGTCTTTTAATGATGCGTGTAAAATGAGATGTAAATTCTGGACTGTGCCATTGAGTATCTCATTTTCTCTCATATATGAATGTAAGAACTTTGTTTTTCTAATTCCAAGGCGGAAACCAGCAAAATATTACATGAAAGTAAGACTTATTAATCTTCTCTTATCATCATCCATCACCTCGGGCCACTGGGGTGGAGGTTGATCTTGATCAAAAGAAAGAAAAACTTAATTAGAACTATTCATTTGCCTCAACCTCCCAAAACTTAATTAGAACTATTCATTTGCCTCAACCTCCCAAACGAGTCGGGGAGATATTTGACAGCTTTAATCTCCTAAAAAGAAGGGGTAATGGAGAGACTCTGCTCTTAGTTAGTTTCATCCATTATTTCTTTGTTAATAATTTTTTTTCTTAATTTTATGCAATTTAAATACATACATACGCAAATACAGACTTGAGCGGCTTGCATTAGAATCCGTTCCCCCATTTTTCCGACCATTCCCTCTATTAAAATCTTCTGTTAAATGGCTTGTTGGCAGATTTGCCACGTGGCAGACCATATTGCAGAGTAAACCCCATTCCATTGCTTCACAGGAATCATGTATTTATGCTGTGCTTCGGTGTAATAGGGAGGATGCATGTATGATAAGGTGAAAAAGAAATAGAAGTAACATACATATTTAACTTAAAAATTGTTATTATACATTCCACAGATTTTAGGTATGGCGAGAATTTCTGTTTCTTCATGGCAAGAAGGGAAAATTTCCATAGGCGTTTTATTCATCCAACCAAACACGTCTTTTGACTCTTCCCATCATTATTAAATTATCCATTGTGTGTTACCCGATATTTTTTTCTTTTTGGCTGAAAGTTCTATCCTGCCAAATACTACCTCAGGTCCTAATTATAAGAGTTAGTTGACTAATTTGAGAAGATTAAAACAAGAAGTTAAGTTAGTTATTTATAATAAATATGTGTTGTCTTTCTTGACATATCCTTGCTAATTAAGTGTATTGGCTATAACTACAATTGTTAGGAAGACTATCTTGGAAAAAAAAAGTATAAATATGAAAGATAAAGTAGATTGAGATTTTATATTTAGAACCAAAATAAAAATAAAACAAGATTTTATATTAAGGACCGGAGTTAATATAATAGAGACTGAAGCTGCGTGTCCATTTATTTAGATGATTGTTTCCTAGCAACTTCTATTTGATTATTTTAAATACTTTTTTAACATTAATAAGATTAACTTCATAAAATGGGCTGACGTGAAAGACTGCATGGTGGAATTAATCAAATTACTTCATGCTATGGAAGTCATAGGTTCCCCCATCAAGGGAAGTTACAAGGAAAGCTTGCGTCCAATCATTAGTCATAAACAATAACATATTTAAATTTGGTGACGACAGCCTAAAACGTCATAAAATGGATAAGTACCTATTTGTATGTAATCTGATATGTCACTTTTTCACATTTGAATTTATTAATTGGTATTCAACGGCGACAAATAATAGATATTACCACTTCTTGTACTTAATATAAGAGTTAGATAATTAATTTTTGAATATTAAAGAAGTTAGTTAAGTTAATTATTTGTAATAAATAAATTGGTATTGTCTTTCCTAAAATATCCTTATTAATCATATGCATTAGAATAAAAATTATTTAACATGTATAATCATTATGGGGACTGCTTTGAAAAAAATGAATAAATATCAAAAACAAAACAAATTAAGCTCATATGTTTATGACCAAATTGAATCTCCAACTAATTCTTATATTTAGAACCGGATGAAGTACTAGCATAAACAAAATGGAAAACCCTAGAATATTGCTATAGAACAAGACTTTAGTACTATAAAAGACCATTCAAACATGATGGGGTTTCCTACAGAGAATCAGCATTGTGATTGAGAAGGAAGATCGCATTCTCAAAAATGGGCTTTCTAGACCATCTTCCTCAATGCTTTTCTTGTCCCCCTTCCCCCCTTCATAAACGCTTTCCTTTGCAGGTTTTGACCTATACATCTTTCTTTCCTTTTTACATCTTTAAACTTTATGTATTCACGAGGTTTTTCAATATAATACCGTATATATAGGTAACTAATTAAAATCATTTCTCTTTGTGTTGATGATGAGGATATATTAGACAGTAAATCTGAGGGTGAAAATGGACTGCCAAGGTTGTGTCAGGAAAGTTAGGAATGCTGTGGAAGGCTTGAAAGGTCTCTCTTCAACCTTTTTCTTCTTCAATATATGCATCTGTTCCATAACAAGAGTTTATTTTCATACTTTACAGTTTTTTTTTTTTGGGCCAAAAGAGTCACTTCCATTAATCACAAAATAAGAAGAGGGTGGGGGAACTTGAACCCCATTGTTAAGACACACCTCCTTTGAGCTACTCACTACTAAACGGTCCTAAAGTTCATAGATTCTTCTTATTTGTTTCAATTAGGGGGGCATGCACTAATAGTATGAGATTACAAACGGGATTGGATTTGTGATCTCTCACTTTACAGGGGAGTATTTATACCACTAGGCTATAAGGTCATCAGCCATGCTTGTTTTAGGCTGATAAGAACAATCAATGTTGATTTTCAATTGATTCTTCTCAGGTTTTTTTCTAACCACCTCACTTTGTCTTCTTCCCAGCTATCCCCTCTTTCAATAAGCCATTTGCTTCCAAATACTCATCCACAAGACATACTGCATTCTGCATAATGCTTCCCTAGTGACCAAACTACCAAATACTGCTCACCACATATTATGTTTAATTTTTTGGACCACTTTCAATCCCCAGATCAGCTTCCACAGATAACTATCAGTGTTTCATTAGATTTTTTTTGGGTTACTAGTTTTTGACCAAAATTTAAAAAAAAAAAAATCGATTTTGTTTTGATTGCTAACACATTTAGGATTTGGGTCTGAGTGTTTTGAGTTACATCCACACATGCATGCACACTTCTTTTGCCACAAGCTGTCATCATTTCTATTTCTCTGAAATTTAACCAGCTAATTTCATCTAAAGATTCAGAGAGTGGTTTGATTTGAAAGCTGTGTATTATATTACATGTGTCATTGTGTCAGACTCCTACTTTAGCCGTTGGATTAAGTCAACATATCAATTTCTAAACAGGTGAAGGAAAGACAATTTTTAATGAAAGAGAAGCCAAATATGAACACAAATAAAAAATCACAGATGAAAAAGATATATCATCTAAAAATCTTTTAATGCTATCTCAGTCATAATAATTAATGAACTAAAAAGCGTCATGTAGCTAGCTTCTTAGCTTATCGTGTCTTTATTTTATTTTATTTGGTGAACAGATAGCTTCTCATTTTGTTCAAAGGAATCGCATTAGTTTGTTTATGCACTCAAGCCATGTTTGACCTTTGAAACTTTCTTTTAATTTTACTTTTCAATAATCAATCCTTCTTGCTATTAAAATAATACAAATATCAATTTTTTAATTTATTTGAGAAGATGATTTTTTTGGGTGAAATGAAAAGATGATATTTTGAGATATGTATGGAAGTCAAGATAACATCTACGTTTACTTTGAAAACAACTGGCTATTAGCCTATTATATTATATAAACAAAATAATATGGGATCATACATATAATATGAATGTTTTTAATTCATAATGATTTTTTTTGGGTATTATGTTTTAAAATGGGGGAAACTGTGGAAATGAAGGGGTGGAATCAGTGGATATAAACCAGAAGCAACAAAGGGTGACAGTGAAGGGGCATGTGGATGCAGAAGAAGTAATAGAGGAAGTGAAGAGCACAGGGAAGAGAGTAGAAGTATGGCCATTTGTGGATCATCACTACAAAAATATGTTAATTCTAGCGGTTATGGTGTTACATTTCTAGCGGTTTTAACCGCTACAAATAACATTTGTAGCGGTTAACGAAACCGCTAGAAAAACAGTGTTAGAAAAAATTTCTAGCGGTTATCTCAACCGCTACACATCATGGTCAAAACGATAGAACATTTCTAGCGGTTACGAACCGCTAGAAATTATCTGAAGGAGACACATTACTAGCGGTTACAAAACCGCTAGAAATTTTTTCCGGGGAAACGTTTCTAGCGGTTTTATAACCGCTAGAAAAGTTTCCCCGGAAAAAATTTCTAGCGGTTTTGTAACCGCTAGAAACCTGCTAAACGGGAATTAAATAATTTCAGTAGCGCGCGAAAATTACTAGCGGTTATAGAACCGCTAGAAATCTTTGGGAAATTAAATTTTCACACCAATTGAATTTTTAGAATGGCGGGAAAATTTTCTAGCGGTTCTTAACCGCTAGAAAGTTTGGCGCGAAATTTAAATTTGACGAAATATTTCTAGCGGTTCTGAACCGCTAGAAATGTTTACCGTGCCAGAAAAAAAAATTTATGGTTTTTCATATTATAATTTTAAAAACCATTAAATAAATTATTTTGAAGAATTTTTGTTAATTTGTATAATTAGTTATATGTTACATTTTATATATTCAAATTTTGTAATAAAAAATATGTAATTAAATTATGAATGTGTTAAAAGAAGTGAATTTAATCTAACAAGATAATTTAATTGAATATTTAATAAGATAGTTGAATTGAAGATGATATATTTGGAATATTGAACCTATAGTATTAAGTTGATGAGTATTTGAATCAGTTGAGGAGGGCATGACAAATGTGGAGAAGAAAAATCTGAAAGGAAAGGAGAAATAAATATGTTAGTAAATTTTAAATAAAAACAAATAAAAGATACAATGAATTATAAAATAAAATTCACTTACCATAGAGTAAAGAGAAAAAAATCACAATATGAGATAGTAAGAAAAAAAGAGAGAATTATGAAGAAGAATAGGAGAGGAAGGAAAGAGATGGAGTAAATGAATGTAGAGAAGATATGGTATTTATAGAGATCAGCGACACATTTGTAGCGGTGTTTTTGTAGCGTTTTATAACATTTTGTAGCTGTTATTCATTTTCTAGCGTATATAAAAGCGCTAGTAATTAGTAGCGGTTACATATGTAGCGGTTATTAACCGCTAGAAAGTTAGTATTTTTATTTTTAAAATCTGAACGAATTTTAATTTACAGGTATGTATTTTGTAGCGGTTCATAACCGCTACAAATTTTTTCACGAATTGTATTTGTAGCGGTTATTAACCGCTACAAATTACAATTTTCACGAAATTGTAATTTGTAGCGGTTAATAACCGCTACAAATTACAATTTCGTGAAAAACTTTGTAGCGGTTATGAACCGCTACAAATGAAAATTTTTTTATTTTTAAAAAAATTTTACGAATTTTAATTTATACATATGTATTTATGGACGAAAAATTTGTTAAATAATTTATTTTGGATGCTGCTACTCTCCATCATCATCCGGCCTGAAAGGACATATTTTAAAAAAATTTGTTAAATTTATGTTGTATTTGGAAAAAATTAGTAATTAGTAGTTAATTATTTAAATAATTTAAGAAAAGACGTGTACCTGATAAGTGGCAAATTATCATCTCCTTGAGGAAAGAAGTCTTCAAAATTCGAGGGTTGGAAGGGTTCACTGTCGTAAATAATGTCACCATCACCCATATCGTAAAGATCCCGTGGCTTGAGGTGAACGACCATATTCCAGTCTTTATGTTTCTCGTCCTCGACATAGTAAATTTGGTGTGCCTCAGAAGCAAGGATATATGGCTCATCATCTTCAGATGCCCCCGTATGAATAAGTCTTGAGAAATTGACTGAGGTGATGCCCAAATGGTCAGTAGCGAGTCCCCGTGAAGTTGTCGTATTTGCCCAGGAGCATTTGAACAGTGTCACGGTGAAAAGCTGGTAAGTCAACTCAATAATGTCAATTAGCTTTCCATAGTAAGTGACGCCTCCAAAGCGCATATCGCCATCACTACTGCTAGCATAACATCTCGTTCCGAATGTCCCGCAAACTCCAGAGTTTTGTGTGAGCAATCCCTGATCACGTGCAACCGTACAGAACTTGAAGCCGTTGACATTGTACGCGGTAAACCTCCGTGCATGGTCTAACGGACCGAGAGAAAGAGCTCTGAATTCATCTGTGTATGGGCTGTTGTCATTACGTATTCGACGTGTAAACCAACTGGGAAACTCTTTGTGGACTCTTTTATCAATGTCAGCAGAACGCGCACGGCCCCGTAGCTGACGCCTGAGATAACTCCTAAACTCACTATAGTAAAGTGTAATTTGTTAGAAGAGTCAATAAGAAACAAATATAAAGTGTAAAAGCTAGTGAGCTTATATGATATATATACTTACTGCATGAAGGGTTCAACTTGGCTGCAATTTATCAAAACGTGTCTGTGTGCCTGGAGTTTCTCTGTAGGAGTGAGTCTGAAGAATTCATATCCTCCAACTGGTTTCCCAACAGGAGGAAATAAAGTTGACGTGGAAGGACCGGGAGGAGAATCATCTACGCGACGCGGGCGGTTAAAAGATGTCTCCATGTCATCAAAGTACCTCGAACAGAAAGTTAGGACCTCATCTCCGGAATAACCTTCTGCTATTGACCCCTCAGGCCATGCCTTATTCCTAACATATGATTTTAATTTTCCCAAGTACCTGTAAGTTAAAATTGCATTAATAATTACGAGTAAATGAAAGAACAATGTGAAATTTAAAGAGGCGGGAATAAAAGATAATCTAGTACCTCTCTATAGGGTACATCCATCGATAGTGAACTGGGCCAGCAACCTTTGCTTCTCGAACAAGGTGGACAGTCAAGTGAACCATAACAGTAAAGAATGATGGAGGAAATATCATCTCCAAGTGACAAAGTGTAAGAATAATTTTATTTTGCAGCTGATCAAGCTCTTCCGCTACCAAGACCTTCGCACACAACTTCTTGAAAAATGAACATAATTCTACCAAAACCACCGATACATCAGAAGGAAGTGTGTTTTTCAAGGCCAATGGAAGTAACTGTTGCATAAGAACATGAGAGTCATGACTTTTCAACCCAGTAACCTTTCGAGCCTGCAGATCGATACACCTTGAGATGTTGCTAGAATATCCATCTGGTACTTTTATGTTCTTCAACGTCGAGAGGAAGATATCCTTGTTCTGCTTTGTCAAGGTGAATTTAGCTGGCTGAAACTTGTCGTTTTCATCAGGCCAAGCCTCTTCACGAATTCCCCAGGCCCGTAAATCTTTTCTAGCTGCGAGATGGTCTTTGGACTTTCCAGCTTCATTGAGCAACGTATATAGCACATTATCGCACACATTTTTTTCAATGTGCATAACATCCAAACTGTGTCGTAGCAAATTAGATTCCCAATAAGGAAGAGTGAAAAATATGCTTCTCTTCCGCCATTGCATAGGTTGCGTATCAGATGTCCCACGAGATCGTCGTCCCAATCGTTCGGGATCCACACTCTTACCAAACTCGATATGAACATCTTCTAACTGCCGCAAAATATCCATACCAGACAAAGTAACAGGAGGATCTCTCTTCTCCTGTTTCCCATCGAAGCGAATCCGTTGCAATCTAAGTCTGTGCTTGGAATCAAGGAACCGTCGATGTCCTATGAAGCACCACTTGCGACTGTGTGGAAGGCGACATGGCACAGAATCAAAATTGCACTCAGGACAGGCCAACCCAGTATGCACATTCCAGCCAGACAAAGTTCCCAAACCGGGAAAATCACTTATTGTCCACATCAAGGCTGCACGGAGATTGAATAGTTGCTTGTCATGTGAGTCATATGCCTCAACACCATTCGTCCATAGGTCGAGCAATTCGTGTATCAACGGTTGCAGGTATACGTCAATATCATTTCCTGGTGCTTTCTTGCCAGGAATGATCATGGAAAGCAAAAAGGAGCTCTGCTTCATGCACATCCAAGGTGGTAGATTGTATGGAATTAACACCACCGGCCAGATACTGTAACTTGTGCTCATGTTTCCGAAGGGATTAAAACCATCGGTTGCCAATGCAAGACGTACATTTCTAGGATCATTGGCAAAGTCTGGAAATTTCGCATCAAACGCTTTCCACGCCTCCGAGTCTCGTGGGTGCCTTAACCTACCATCTAGGTTTTCCTCAGTCGCGTGCCACCTCATGTGCTGAGCCATTTTTGATGACATATACATTCTTTGCAACCGTGGTTTCAAAGGAAAGTATCTAAGAAAATAATATATTAAAAATTTAAAATACCGAATATTTTTAGAGACGGAACAAGTAACACGCTGTAATAATTTGTACCTGAGAATTTTGGCCGGTTTCTTCTTTTGCTTCTTGCCCTTTCGTACCGACTTATAGCGTGACGTCTTGCATCTCGTACAAATCTCTTTGTTGGCATCATCTCCCCAGTATAGCATACAGTCGTTTGGGCATGCATCTATCTTCTTATAGTTCAAGCCAAGCTTGTTAATAATCTTTTTTGCTTCGTAAAAAGACGGAGGGAATTCAGCTTGGGGGAAAGCATCTCCCAGTAACTCCAGCAACATAGACATCGCCTTGTCAGTCATACCGCACAAGCATTTGATGTGATACAGCCTCACCAAGAATGACAACTTCGAATACTTTGTACACCCAGAATAAAGAGGCTTGTCAGCTTCGGTCATGAGGTCAAAAAATTCCCGAGCAGTTTCGTTTCTTAGAAACTCCGGTTGAGGTCCCTCTACTTCATCTTCGTTGGGATTCGAGCTTTCGTGAACACCAAAAGCATCACGCACAGCATCATTCACGGCATCGGCCTCATCCACTCGAACTCCCATCCGTGAAACTACTGGCACTGACTCAGCACCCATATCTAGCCGTTCCCCATGTAGTTGCC